TTTTTTTCGATGCTCGACAACTCCTGCTTCCGCGACAGGCATTATTTCTCCGCTACACACGCTCCATGCACACCGGCCAGCGAGCGCCACTGCCTCGAAAAGATTTGATTTGTTGCTCACTCCTGCTTTTCGTCTTCCTTTTCTTCTTCGACGAGGCTCCTTTCTAGAGGACGCTGACCTTTTTTTGTTCTCGAGGTGCCGGGGTCAGGGCGGCGGTGTCGCGCCCTGTCTCGCGTGTACTGGATTTCATTTGCTTGCTTTCGATTCACAACATCGGTTTCGTTGCGGTTTGCTGCTTTGTCGCCGTAGGAGGTGTATGCGCGCAGCGTTATCTTATTATAAGTTGATTGGATTCTGGAGTGGAGTGGAGTGGTGGCGGTAATCGCGGGTTAAGGCGGGATTTTGGAACGCGTCTTTAGCTGCTGCTGCTGCTTTTGATTTTGCTTGCGTTGTGGTTTCCTACTATTTTCTTATGTGGCAAAGCTTCTTCTGCAGCCAATTCTGCTGCTGTTGCTGCTGCTCGCCTTTTTTCTTTTCTTTCTTCTTCTTCGGACGAGATGAGGGTTTAGGCGGTGAATGTGCGGAATTATGGATTCTTATGGATTGATGGATTACTTGAATTTTTTGGTTTGGTGCGTGTATGGGCGCGAGAAGGTATGGGTAGTGGGCAGAAGGACAGAAAGACAGAAAAAAAAAAAAATCAAGTCGTCGTGTGGATGGATGGATGGATGGGAAGAGGGCATTGCATTGCATGCAGGCAGTGGTGTTGAAGGCTTGCTTGCCGTAATGTGTTTGTCTTTTTGCTCTTTTCTTTATATATACATTAACTTCTACTGCTTCCTCCCGTTTGGGCCTGCTTCTTCTCCTCGCACGCGCCTTGCTCTTCTTCTTGGGTCCCTTTGCGACATTGTCTTCCCTCGTCGTCATCGTTCTTTGCTCGGCCAAGTAACCAAGCATCCAATGCTGGCCAGTCCAGTCCGTTATCGATCTGTCTCGAATGACCTACTGTACCTAATAATACGTCGCTCGGCACCTGCTTCCTCACGATGCATGTCCTGTCCCGTGCGTGCTCCTGTCTGCCGTTTTTATCCATGCTAGTCGGAGAATTATACATGTTTCTGGTTTCGCTCTTGTGGCCACCAACTAGATGCCGTATCCAGCCATCCAAAACATCGATCTCCTCCTCTGCCTCTGCCGCTTCCTACGTACTATCAAACATACACGCACGTTTCTGCCTCTAACCCACTCGCCGGCTACGATGGCTGGCTGCTGCGCCTAGCCTGGCAACACGTACATCATATGTGCAAGGGAGCAGGCACGTTAGTAAATGCGTTTGTGAGAACAGATTAACGCATCATAAACGGCTCAGGTTTATCTGGTTCGATATTTGTACCATTCTTTTTCATGTTCGGCTTATCTACTTTTCGAACTTGGTCTTGTCCGCGGCATGTGGATGCGAGTTGCTTGTTTACTGACAGCTCCTTCTACTCCTTTTTGGATTCGTTGCTCGACTCCACCATCAGCACCCTGCGCACTTTAGTGTACACTTCACACGCCTCGCCTCGCACTTTAACTTGACGCTGAACTTCCCTCGCTTCGCTCTTGTGCTGGGCTGTTGTCTTCTGCCGCCATGTTCTACTGTTGTTTGTACATAGGATAACTGTGATGAAGAGTTTAGTCGCGTAGCCCTTGCACTGTTCTACGTGGGCTTCAGTATTATGGGTATTTTCAGCAATAGAGACACGGGCAACCTGGCGGCAAAGACTGCAGTTTCGATTCTTCGGTGACCTCATGCATCATCTCGAAGGTCAGTGTTGCAGCAAGAGTGTGAACGAAACACAACGCCGGACCCACCATATCCCGAGATATCAAACCCCTTCATTTTCAAAAGAGCTCTTGATCACAGCAGATCGTCCTTGCCGAGGAACTTGGCCATGGGGTCATCGGCAGCGGTCCGCTTTCGCCGATATTCCTCCATTTCCTCCTCCGTGACGCCCGCTGCCATTTCGTCGAGCGTTCTCTTCTTCGCCTTGGTGTCTTCCCTTGATTTCTCGTCGCGCTCCACCGCGTTGGGGACGTGTTCCTCGAGTGCCTCGTCTTGCTTCCATGCAATATCCCTGGGGACCTCATCCGCATCCGCGGCTGACTTGATCCGCTGCGATTCCTCGTATGCCTTCTTGCCCGCCTCGCCCGTGCAGTAGCTGTTCTTCACAGTCGAATGACAGCAAAAGTAACCCCACTGGAAATTCGACCACCAGCTCCCCCAGACCGAAGTGTGGTTGTTGATGAGCACGTCCTCGGGGTATTTGGATTTCGCTTTGACCTTTGGCGCGCCTTTGATGCCGCCCTTGGCGTCGTACTCCACATACCGTTCGCTCTCGACAATGGCAGCATCCTTGAGAGGTGCGTTTTGAAGGTGCTCGTGGCCTCCGTACTTCTCGAGAAGGGCCTTTTTGTGTGCCTGTCGCTTTGCCTCGGCCTCCTCCTTCTCCTTCTTCCGGAAATACTCGCCCGACGTAGGGTTCGCTTGCATGTGCATTTTGGTCTTGTCTCCCCGCTCTTGGCTCTCCCACGCATATTTCTGTGCCCTCTCAAACTCAGCTGCGTCGCCGGACGCGCGCATAAAACCTTCCTCCGCAACGAGAGCCGCCGATTTGTCAGCGGTGGCGCCGCTGTCCACCATTGATCTGGTCTTTGGGTCGTATTTTGCGGAGTCCAGGTCGAGATTGAGGAGATATTTGGCCGTGTCCTCACGTATGCGCAGGTTCCGTGTCGACGTAGGCTGCGTCCTTCCCATGTTCGTCTCGGCCTCGTACTTAGCGCCCTCGTCGCCATCCTCGTCATCGTCCTCTCCCTCCACCCTCTGGCCATTTTCGCCCTTGACCTTCTTTTTCTTTTCCTCCATCTCGTTGTATTCTTCGATGACGGCCGTGTATTCGTTTGCATCGTAGCCGTTCCAGCGGTCTCTCTTGGCATCCCAGCCTAGCTGAACATCCTGGACAAGCTCGTCTGCCTGGATGTCCTTGCCCGTCCAGCGAGCGCCTGCCTTGCGCGGTCGGCTCAAGCACTCCTTGGTCTTGTGGGTCATGGAGCCGCAGTTCTCGCAGGCGCCTTTGCGGTACTTGGTGGCTGCCGGGCCAGCCTTCCTGCCGCGGTCGTACCATTTTGACTCGGCATCGAGAGAGGACTTCTGCAGACGCTGGTGCTCGAGGTAGTCGTTGTCGGTCGAGTCGTCGGTTATGTAGAAAGGCTTCTTGGCGATGAAGCTGGGAATGTACTCGTTGCGCTCCTTGTTGGCGGCCGAGACGTCGGCCGGCTTGCGCGGCTGGGCGGGCGGCATGGTGGGCGACGCGATGGGATGCGATGAGGTAGTAGGTAGGTTGTGGCGTGGGAGGTTTTGGGGTGGACAAGCTTAGCTTAGGTATTACCTAGTCAGTTACCCGCAACGCGTCGATCCGCCTGCCACGCATTTCCTCTTTCCTCCCGCCGCCAAACACCGTCACGCCCACACTACTACATACACTCACCACTGCGGTAGTAAACGCACATATTTCCTCATTATACGCGCACGCTTCATCTATCCGTCTCGACACACAGACAGTTCTCTGCCCGCAGAGCACGGCCCGCGTCGCTTGCTGTATCCCTAGCAAGCCTAACGATTCGGTACCGGCGTCGGACAGAGCCCGTAAGTCTCTCTTTGACGCAGAGGGCGTTGCGCAACCGTTCATCATGTCGTATCCTCCGCCTCCAGGTCCCAAGTCCAACTCTTCGACGCCTCAGCCTCATCCTTCGCTCCCTGCTCGTCCACCGCCTCCGGTGCAGGCCCCGGCCTTCTCCAAGTTCTCAAACTCGGGCGCAAATGGAAAAAACCAAGGCGCCGGGGGCTATGGCGCCTTCACCGGTTTCAAACCTCGATCGGTAGCTGGCGCATCGAGTCAGGGCTGGCAACCGCAACCTGCGACTGCCTCCGCAGGACCACAACCTCCTGCTGCATACTCGGCCGCTCAAACTGGCTATATGGGCGGTGCGTACCCGGCGACTGCCTATCCCCAGCAGACTCCATACTACCCTCAGGCCAGCAACGACCCGTACGCGAACCCAACGCCGCCCCAGATTCGAAACCCTTTCCCACTCCCTGGGCAGGCGCCAAGCGGAGGCTATGGGTCCAACAGCGCATATGACCCGGAGTACGAGGCGCAAGTAGCGCAATGGCAGAGCGCATATGCCGGCAAAGACGACTCGAATGCCAAAGCCACTGGCCGAGGCCGTGCTGAGACCGGAAACGCAAACAACACGCCCTTGGGGGCTAAGCCAAACGTGTCCGCTCCTATCAGCAATACCGAAATGCAGTCGGCGGTCAACTCCGACACTGGAGTGGCGGCTGTTGTCGCCGGTGCAGACGGGAAGCAAAAGACGGTGGTGAGAAGTGGTGGAGGACAGACATGGCAAGACCCTAGTTTGCTCGAATGGGATCCCTCCCATTTCCGCTTGTTCGTTGGAAATCTGGCCGGGGAGGTCACTGACGAATCTCTGCACAAAGCCTTTTCGCGTTTCCAGTCTATCCAGAAAGCACGGGTAATTAGAGACAAGCGTACGACTAAGAGCAAGGGCTATGGCTTTGTGAGCTTCAGCAACGGTGACGATTACTTCCAGGCTGCGAAGGAAATGCAGGGCAAATACATTGGCAGCCACCCTGTCCTTGTCAAGCGTAGTACTACCGAAATCAAGGCCGTGACGCCTCATGATAAGCGGAAGAACAACAAGAACAACAAGAACAACAAGGGTGGAAATGGCGGCGGTGGGCATGCCAACACCGGGGCCGGTGTGCAGAAGAAGCCAAGCAAGACTAAGGGTGGTCTGAAGATTCTGGGCTAATTCTCGAACTATTTGAGAGGATGTCCATGCCGCTCGCAGGCGGCGAGCGTGGTCGAGTTCCAGAAGAACTGTTCTTGTCACTGTACTCTTGTTCAGGGTAGAATGTTGCGCGGCAAGTTTGTCTTGCTACATTCGAAGAGAAAATCATATAGTCAAAGTAGAATCTAACATGGTAGATACGTACATGGCTTCGCTCGTGATTTGTTATGTTTCCCTGGTCACTTGCAAACACTTTCGCCCCATGAAATATGAGTCTATTTCCATAACACGCTCACACTTATATCTCACCATTAGTCCGACCTCACGTGTCTGCCTTACAAGAGGCTCAACGATTGAGTGGAAGATGTCAAGGGCAGCACTATGGCATGCCAAAGCCACATGTCTAAGCCCACAAACAAAGACTAACACTGCCGATATAAGTAAGAACTTAGTCAGCCAAGGCAAACAGCAGTAAGAAGAATGTAAGCAGGCGAAACTCAGGCAAGCATATATCCCTACCAGCTGCCAACACAGAGTAACCAAAGGCACAGCTGTGCCTTGCCATAGTCATGTCGTACGGCGATGTGATTGGCGTCGCGCTTATTTCCGCATCTGGGAGGCCGCAGCAGAGGTCGCCGCTCGCCGCTCGGATCGCAGCTGTCACGCGGCACCCTAGTCGATCGGGCCGGTCGGAGAGGCTGTGCTGTGCCACAATCAGTGTTTGCCTTGGATGGGCTGAGTAAAAGGCGGCGCTGTTGGGAGAGGGGCCGTTGGTGTTGGAGAGGCCTGGGGTCTTGGTAGTCGTGTTAAGTGGTTTAGTGCTGGCGGTGGCAGAGACGAAGCGGTGAGAGGAGGATGAGGAGGAGCTGAAGGTGGAGCAGGAAGTGAGACATGGAGAACAGATGCGGTCGGGTAGAGAGTTTAAGCTTAAAAGCTGGCGGGCCCCGCAAGCGCAAGCAAAGCAAGGAAAAAGGTGCAAACAGACAAGTCCGCGGAAACTCAGCCTTGCACGGGGAATGTAAGAATCGAAGGATCAAAGAAGACACGCACCGGGCTTAGCATGAATTTGGCTCGGCTTGGCTGATGCCACCGCGCGCCAAGGGTCCTCATCATCGGGCATCATCATCCTTCGTCTCGTAAACCCGGATTCATCGGGGTACTTATATATCCACCAGCGCCGCTGCCAGCTGTTGCACAGACGAACGTCAGACAGTCGTAGATACCCTGTTTGTCTACCATCAACCTACCTCTCACGCAACAATCAGCCCATACATATCGCAGCATCCGCATACACCTGCGCCCAAGGCATAGACCTACAAAAATGAAGATCACCAACGCCCTCCTACCCTTGCTCTACCTGAGCGCGCACGGCGCCTCGGCCCTCTCGGTCCCCCACTCCGACGACGCCACTTCCGCACTCGCCCCGCGCAACGACAACGCCGACGCCGCCGTCCCTGACACCTCGTACTGGCACCATTACCACGCGGCGCGCGCCGTCGCGTCCGAGCTGCTCAGTAAGCGCGGCCTCGAGAAGCGCAAGGGTGGCGGAGGACGCGGCGGTGGCAGCAGCGGCGGCTCTTCTTCTGGAGGTACGTATGATGATGATGATGATGATGGTACTGGAGACGGGCTTTTCTTTGGCTTTCTTTCTTGGAGCTTCTGAGGCTTTGCGCTCTTTGTACTTTAATCTCTTTCCTTCCTTTTTCCTTGGCTGGTGTTGCGGTGGGAAACTGAACTCGCGCGTCCTGTAGGTCGTAGTGGCGGGTTTTCTTCTGGTTCCGGCGGTCGGTCGAGTTCTGGCGGATCCAGTTCGAGCTCAGGTGGGCGTTCGAGTTCTGGAGGGTCGAGCTCTGGTGGATCGCGTACTGGCGGCTCGAGTTCTGGCTCGAGTGGTTCGTTTTCTTTACTCTCCACACACTGCGCGTTCTGGACAAGATTACTGACGTACTTTTTCACGCACAGGCCGTAGCGGTGGGTCGAGCTCTGGAGGATCAAGCTCAGGAGGCCGTAGTGGCGGATCAAGCTCTGGTTCTAATGGTTCGTCAAGTCCGCCTTACAGTTAGACGGCCAGACACTGACGCTAATGTCCATACAGGCCGCACATCGGGCACCTCCAACGCCGGCGGAAGCACGCGCTCAGGCAGCGGTCCCGCACCTGCCTACGGCGGCGGACGCTACTACGGCGGCGGCGCCACGACGCCCTACAGAGCGGGCGGGCGCTCACCCGGCGGGCTGACGCCCTTCCTGCTCCCTCTGGCCGTGCTCGCCTTCATCCCCGCGATCTGGGCGCTTAGCGCCGCGGGCGCCTACAGCTACCACTACAACCACCCGTACAGCTTCCGCAACGAATCGGACACGAACAACAACGGCACCAACACGACGCTGCCTGTCCAGTGCTTCTGCGGGAAGGAGAGCGTGTGTGGCTGCGACGAGACGAACGACACATCTTACTATGACAGCTTGATCGGAAATGGCAGCTACGCTGCGCTGAACAAGAGCGTGGTTGACGTTGCGCGGGTCAATGGCACCGACACGCTGATCATTAACGGCAATTTGCCGAACGGAACGACGGCGTCGGGCGGCAGTGACGATGACTCCACGAGCGCCGCGGCGGAGAGCCTGGCCCGCTTTGCGGGCTGGTGGGGCATGCTGGCTGCGGTGGCGGCTATCGTGTGCCTGGTTTAGGCGGAAGGAGGGAAGAAAGGTTGCGGGTGCTTGCTTGGCTGGTTCATGATGGAATGATTGATACCCCGGAAAATATGCGCGGCTTGGTGTGGACATACATGATGGGGTAGAGACAGTTGGTGGACGCGAGCACGGCTGGGTATTGTTTCGGGTTTTTTGATATGCCTTGTACGATGGAATGAGGGTGGAGACGCAGTCACTGTACTACTTCATCGACCTGCTTAGCGGGTTACTAGTAATTAATGAAGAAGCGAGCGGGCGTTTATAATTAATTCCGCCTGGTTGGTTTTTATGACGCTTTTGGGCCTTGTGATGCTGGAGAGTAGAGAGGTTTCTGTGATAATCTGGCTGGGGTAGGTGCTGTGAGGTGGTGGTGACTGGTGAATATGACGAAGGTCTTCACTCAAGACGCTGCACAGCGCAAAAGCCTGGAAACTATTACCCGCTATGAATGATATGAGGTCGAGGCGATGGCTCATCGGATGCATATAATACCATTGGACTAAACATCGTCTTGGAAATGGGCGGGAGATTTAGCTGTGAGAATGCGTTCCTTTTTGCTAATCACGATGTGGGAAGAGGGGAGAGAGTGTGATAGAAAGAGAGAGCGGGAGAAAGAAAAAGCATGAGCGCTTGTGTCCTCTATGGCTGCACGGATATACCTTGAAAAGCTCTCAGTGTTTGAACTATGAACGTGTTGCAGCAAGAGACGAAAGCAAGGCAAGTCACTAACACCACGAGAGTGCTGGGATTCTAAACATGTACTATACAATATGGGGGACCCAAATCCTAAGCATGGAATCGAGCTCATCAAGCTCAGTTGCCCGAATCTAAGTAACGCGCGCCTGCTGTAGGGGTAAAACGGCAAATGCTACCCCAAAATTGTTTGAACAGAAGGGAGGATGAAGCATGCTGCATGCCCGGGAAAGACGACAAGAACTAGGTGCAAATCGTAGCTTATAATGTTACGGTAGGCGGAGCTAGGACGCTAGGTAGCTAGCTATTGCCCTTATAAACCCAGTTGGCAGTTCACTTAGTAAGAACACGAGTTAGAAGCGTTGTGTGGTTTAGTGGCCACCGTAAAGGTACCTTAACACTTCAGAGTGTAGCACCTGGAGTTCGAGTGTTCGAACCACAGCGTTGTCGCTGGAGAAACCGCCCTTACACGGCCGGTGGTTTATAGGGCTTTCGGGCCTGACTTTTTGCTGCGGAGGCTGTTAGTAGTATTTTCTCCCCCCCCC